CTCTAAAACATGCTTGCCCCATTCAGTCTCTGCCAGCAGCGGCGTGCCAATCTACCCCAATGACTTTTCGTCCCTAAGAACCTCGTTTTTCGACGGTGGGCCCCACCTCTGTCAGCAGATGTCGACCATTTCCACCCTCTTTCTTTGTCGATCTCTCTATTCGTTCCCTTCTCGCCGTCGATCTGGCCGCCGAAGGGGAAGAGTCCAATGCGCCGCCTCTTTATACAGCAGCTTCTCGAGGAGGTCGTATTTCTCGAACCGCGCGTCTGACTACAGCCGGTTAGCACTGCAAAAGGGGGTCAGAGACTGACCGAAGTAAAGTCTTCCCACAAAAGAGCGGTGTCCTATTGGCCGCTGCGGGCAAGTGAACAAGGGGCTGGGCTACTGTGGCCTACCGCCAATTCACAAGCCGGGCAGTCGAAGTCGCGGTCTCGGAACCGCGCCACAAAGGAAGCCGCCATCTGGCAAAGATATACAATTCGACCCACCGGCTGGCAGCTGCGGAAGGGACTCTGGCCAAGTCCAAGTTTACTGTTAATGGTATGTGGTCTTTTTTTTCTTGGGTCGTCGATGCAATGCTGCTGATTCTGGTGTCACCCATAGAGGAAAGAGCAGAAGAATCAGGCAACAGAGAGACCCCGATGGGATGACTAGGGCATTACTGTTAGCTGCGTTTGGTGTACTGTGTTCTAGTACGATTCACTTCTGCTGTTCGTAAGCTAAGAATGCTAAGTCAAACTCGAGTTTTTAATTAGCTCCCAGGCATGACATTGGCAAATTGATGAAAGTATTAGCTATGTTTTGGAGTCGCGCTACAACCCGTTTGCCCGTCAGCTTTCTTTTTCTCTATCGTAATATGTTTATTTACTGGTTTTTGTAAATTTTTTTCACTTATCATTTCGCCCCTATCTGCAGTTTAAAAAGGCTACATCTAGTAATGACTGTGTCGCACGCCTCTCGCGCTAGACTGATGTACATACAACACGATCGCGTTGAAGCTTCGGCTTCGTTCGTGTTTGTTATTGTCCGTATCTCCCGGTCTTGGTTTTCACTTTTAGCGGCTGACGAGCGATCCACTCGACAAAATGTTCCATTCCGCCCTTTTGGTAGTGTCCGACGCATACGAAGACAATAAGACGAGCAGCAGTGTTCTGGGTCTCACAAAGTCTTTCACTCTGTAAAAAGTCAGAGGCTTTGTAGAGCCTTCATAAAAGAGCCGCCCCTTCATAGAGAAACATTCCAACGTCAAATATGCCCCCAGGTGGTCCCCCAGGGACATTCCATAGCATACGACACATTTTTTCTAGCCGTGTCTGGAGCATTGTTCACTCGTTGCTTGGGTGCGGTGTCATTTTTTCATCCGACAACCCCTGCCTAATCGACCTGACAACAAAGCAATGATTATGTCGACTGCGTCACAATGCCCATCTAGACATAACTAGCGCTACCGCGGTACGGGACAGCTTCAGACGTGTGCGCACGAGGACGAACCGGTGCGTTCGCTTATTAGAGCTAACAGGCAGATCCGTGACAGAGCATTCTGAACACCAGGGAACTGCTGGACTAAAACAGTATGTAGCGCTGCGGAAGAGACTGCGTTTTAAAAAAAGACCCTAGGCCTATTGTGTGGTGCCCGCTATAAAGAAACAGGCATTGTTGGGTAGCCATAGACTGCTTACGTCAGCTGACGAAGCAGATGTGCCCATGCACAAAAAGAAGAAGGTTTCACTGGCAAAGAGAAACAGGGTTATCGATAAGACTAAAATAAGACGACGGCCACGGGCTGACATGGCTACGCATTCTTCTAGAACTAAGTAACGTAAGCACAATTCTAGGTGCTGCTATGAGTTAGAGGTACTTAGCATAACTGTAGGAAACGAAATTGTTAGAAGAACGATACGCCCAACGTCCAGCAACGATCTTAAAAAAGTAAAGCCTAAGGTCTCTAAAGACGTAATGGTTAAAGGACTTTGCGCTTTATTATGCTACACTATTCCCGATTACCTGTGCTTTGACATATAGAAAAGATTTTCTCATTGGTGTAGATAAGAAGAAAAAATAGAAGATCCATTGTTTTTCTTTACTGCCAGTTTCATATTTGGCCCCTTCCAACAAGTTTTGCAAATTTCTGATCAAAAGGAAAAATGGCCAAAACTACACTTTATTAGCAAAACATACATAGGACGGTCAGATCGAACAGATCGTTGTCCTATTTGCTGTTGTTTTCTACTGCTGCTACAGGAGTAGTAGGTAATCGAACAAATAATTTTCGACTATCTTGGCTACACTCCAGTTGAAGCGTGTTATCACTGCCCATGGCCAAGAACTCTATCGCTATCTGTATACAGAGACAATATCTTTTCGAGTTGTTCAAATTCTCTATGCTGTTTGAAGCCATGTCTAAAAAATAGTATCAGACGTGAAATTCGTAGCACTTATTGAGGTTCTACAATGCTAAAAAGGTATTGCAGAATTACGGTAGTATGTTCATAACTTTGTAACTGTAATTTCATATAATAAATTGTCAACTTGCCACTCGGAAATTGATATGAGTATGGCAGTAAATTCTTAAAAGCGGTCAGACAGATAACCTTCGTACCAAGTAAGCACCCCTGTTAGCAGGCGTGCTGTTGTGCATCAACAAGGCCTGTCATTCTACTACATATTGCACAAATTTGTATAATTGATACCGTGCCCAGTTTCGAGAGCGAAACCATTTATGACTATTGATCATTTCTGTGCAAATTCTCGCCGCCCACTGCACACAAGGGCAGCAGGAAAAACCTTTCTACAAAGCTGAATCTGAAAGGGCGTAATCTGTTGCAATTGTCACAAGGAAACAGGACAAATAGCAGATTTCCTCCGGATCGTCATTTTGCTGGATTCGCAAGATAAGCAGCGACAACTGTTTGCATACCCTAGCTGCCTACAGCGTTCGAAAGGCCACTAACGTATCATCAGATTCTGTGTGTGTGGGGTGTGGATGCGGCCTTTAACGACACGATAGTACAGAGGTTATGAATGCGCATTGGTAACCTAAAAAGAACCGCTGGCCGTGTCTGGGCATTCGAATAAACTAGACGAGGCGCAGCTGTTGGGTTCGTTCAGAGCTTCGTTATAATACATAGACCTGCTTGTCCTCTTAGTAGTCCTAGATGAGACTTGATGCAAGAGACTTTACATAACACTTCTTTATACCTTCGAAGTTGTCAATCATTTCCACTTATAAGTTTGCCTCCTCACTAGCTGAATTCATGATCCACTTCGTGTGCGGTTACCATTGACAGTTCTAGCGACAACTTAAATGACCTATTTATTGCTCGAATATATAACGGCCCCATTATATATCCGAGCAACTTCCACGAGAGAAAGGCAGCATGAGTCTTCCGAGTAACAGTTTCCCCAGGCTTTCTCGTAGCTGCCGAGGTAAACGTTTATTTCCATCAGTGGGTTCGAACACTGTGAAACTAAGATTCTCTTCCTAACCTTAACGACTTCTTCGTTAGCGGTTGTGCCCTGATCATAGGCAGAGCGATCGATCGGCGTTTTGGCGTTTCTCAATTATATCCGCTGAACGGTGAGGGCAATGGAAGGTGGGTGGGTCTTCGGTCGTAAAACGTAACGTAATGTTAGGCTATTGTCCAGAGAGGCCGCTCCCTTTCTCTGGACAACAGAGAAAGAAGAAGGAAATAAGGACGACAACTTGCACGGATGATAAAACAGCAACGAAGAAAATGACGCTTGATTGTTAGACCTGTGTCTATAGTTGCATGTGGGAGAGCGTCGATAAAAACGCCTATAATGAAATTGGTCTGTCAGTGATGCCTCTTTGGCCTGCCAGTGTCTTTCATGTGGGGGTGCATACATCAAAAGTGTACTAGTAGATACGCGAAAAGCAAGCTTCCTTCTTTCTGGAATCTGAGTATATGAAAGGGAGCTATCCATGAAACAGAAAGGCTCCAAGGCATCCTACAAGCCCATGAATCTAATAAACCGTAGCTCGCTGCAGTAGAGCGTGTTGCGGTAAGTTTATAGATCCGAGATCATAAAGGCCAATTCGAAACTAGTAATCAGAAAATAAATCCAGTTCCGTCAGAGCATGGGATCTCGGCTCGGCTGCTGTGAAACATATTCAAAGGTTGTTTGCTTCGCTCCTATCTAATCCTACACGCAATTTACATCTGATCTATTCCCTTGATAACAATTGTGCTTGATCGTATGCCATAGCTCTGTGTATCTGAATTAGAAAAAGGAAACAATTATAAAAATACTGAGTCTTAAATTATAAATTATTCAATAAGATATTTCTGAGTATATCCTACTGTTCAGTATGGTATAAACCGAGTTTTGTCTAGATCGCGACTGAGTCAGTAGTGACACTCGGGGCCAGGAGATATAGCCCGATTATTGCCATCAACGCCTAGGTTTTAGGTACTTACTGCATTAACCTGAGCTGAAACTGAAGCTTCACTGTGAAGTCACATATTGGCTCAAATAGTTTTTTTCGTGCGCAATTTTCTTTTCGATAAAGAGCAACCCTTCACTGCTGTATAGTTCACGGCTATTAAGCAGCAGTGTAAAGCTCGTAATAAATACTGCAAATAAACAGCGGTGGAATTATCGAAGACTGATGGATATTGATAATGCAGTGAACCTAATCTTTAAATCCACAGACATGATGACCCCGACCCGACTTTCAGCTGACATTTAGTGGTGTCTTAGTTTTTTTGAGTGCTTAATATCGCCGTCCTGCGCAATCGCGTTTAGCCGCCATGAACAAAACTTCGTTCCTAGTAGTGACCTATTCAAAGTAGGTCCTCATCAGAATATCAAAATGTGCTTATTGCTTGCTATCGTCGTTAGAAATTTCCTGCGCCTACATAATCGATCCTCATTGACTGATCTCCACTTCGCCCTTGTCTTTCTCTTCCCTCCTGATACCATTTAATATGATATCTAACGTATCTTTGTAATTTTCTGGCTAAAATTTTCCGTTTCAGTTGAGATAGGTCCTGAACATCCTTCATCCTCATGGGCACTCAAGCCCTTTGGCTGCGCGCACGCAGCTCGCGCTGGCAACTCCGATCGGCATTGGCATTGAGAGGCCGTGCTAATGTTTGCCCTCGGCCAGGTGCAGGAAATACAGGGGTTGCAGTCAAGCCAGTGCAACCCTCGCGAGCGACAGCTAGCACAAGAAGCACCCTAAGGCAGTTCTTCTGCCGACAAGTCTTCACGCTACTCGTCATCATAATGCTTTTAAGCCCAAATGCCAACGACACACACGCTGGAGTGCACGGTATGTGTGATCTGTTACTTAGCTTGTTACAAGAATCATTATCATCTTCGTTGTTATTGCTATTGCAATTATCAAGGAACTAGAGGCGCTGGGGTCGCGCCGACAAGACATAATTAATCCTAAGCTATTTTTATCAATGAAGTAAATTATATAGTTATTGCTAGCACTATTATAACTCATGGAGACAGCAGTGCTTACGGTTTCACTGGTCATAGATGGAATAATTGTTAATGCGACTAGCAGTCATCTTTTACATAATATCGTATTTTGCCTTGAATGACTGTTGCAATTTGGCTTAAACATACCGGATCAGATTTTACGCGTCACGCCAACGAACGCACAGTCGATGATGTATATGTAGAATAAACGTTCCATGTGAGCCTATTAAGGATGAAAGTCAGAGGTCCTTTTTAAATTAATTAAGGTGAAACGCGCCGCCATCAGAAACAAACCACTAACGTCAAGTAAATTGAACGTCAATAACATTAACTGTGGCAGAGTAATTTTACATCCTTGTCTGTGGTTTGACAATGAAAAGCAGTCCATAGACTTCGATCTGTCGTTGTCCTGTCATGTTTATTCATGCGTCTACACTCACATGTGTTTAGTATGCAAAGGGGGCAAAAGTATCTTGGAGGTTTCAAAAGAATCACTTGGCAATTTGGGAAAAAAGTGGGGGAATGAAACATGGCGATAAAATGTGCTATTGTCATCAACTGATTAGACTACGAGTTTTCGATTGCCGTACTAATGGTCCACGGGTCTGTTATGAAACCTATAGGGTAGCAAGCTACATCTTCGACAAGCATCCCATAGCAACAGACGTCTCTGATGTCCATTGAGTACAGGCACTACCATCACCTTACGTCCGAACCTATTCGACATTGGCTCTAACTTCAGTTGATATCGAGGGCAACGCTGTTCTCCCGCTTGGGAATAAAAATTGATATATGGCCACCGTATAGTACGGGTGGTATTTCTGTTTAATGAAGTTTCGTAAATTGCACACGGAATGCATTACGCGATCTTTCAATTGGTCCGTAGCTAAATCACGGAAGATTTTATTTTTACCCAGTTCCCGCATTTTCAGTACTTGAGTTAGATTTTGTAGCATGTTAAGAGTGAAATGCCGGTTATGGCTAGCTTAAACTTCAAGTTCTGCTTTTGTAACAAGCCTCTTCCGGTTCCTACATCTGATCAACTGCTCGCTGGTCTTCAACACTTTAATCATTATTCTTAAAACGTTTGCTCCATTCCTTAAAACCCGTTCGCCTAACCTCTTTACCGATCTTCGGTAGATTTCTTTGTCTTCGAAAACCCAATGAGCGTTGAGTCCTGAGTCTAAAGGGTATTTTTTTGTTCTGAACACATTTCTTTTGGAGTAAACTCGATCAGCTCTTATGCACGAGCTTGTAAAAACTTGCAGTATGAACGAGCCAGGTTTTGTCTGTTAACGATCCGTAGCTCAAAAATTATATATAAACATGAGCCGTATGCGTAAGTCTGTCAGGTGACCTTTATTATCAACTATTAGAAAGACTTACGTTGTCTAGTACACGTATTATCACATCATGTTATCTATTTCTATTAAATATTTCATATAATGTGAAAAAATTTGACATTTTTCCCTTATCAAGTAAGGCTTCTACTTGTTAAACGCATAGACCAGTTCGTTGCGTTAACGACTGAGCGATACCATTATTCCATCTTAGCAGCGACGGGAAACGTCCGCTCGGCTGTCGATCACTCTTCCTCCTGTGAACGAGTGATTGAACCTGAAGCCGGTTGGGTTGGCTTCGTAGGCACCTGTGCCGATAATGATCCCTAGTAATGATGGCCACAAGCGTTTCCCAGATGCTTCTCACTATAATAGGATCAATTTCGATCGTTTTCATACAGCTTTTTTCCCCTATAGTGATATCTATTCCCATCTAGATTATAACTTCGTACGATGAACGCCTGACCTGTCAACTTCAATAATCGTCTATTGTAATTAATCTTTTCAACAAACCGATTTGGTACATCGCCAAATCCGTACTTTTCGAACTCGATATCAAGACTTGCCAGGCTGTTGCATATAGCCGATGTTTAAATCAAATGGATGCCGATATAAATTCGCGTTGGAAAAGTCCGGAGCGTCTGTGGTAGATCTGTAGTTCCTTGTTCCTATGAACTGATCTCGTATTGATTATTTGATCATTATGTTTTCATGCTAATAGGATACGTTATGTATTTGCTAAGTTTCGTATCGACTGCTGCTATCTTCTTAGATTAATCCTTGCCAGTTTGCTTCAGCCGTTAGCTTTAACTAGGGACACTGTGCGAGCTCTAAAGTCAGATACGCCTATAGGTCTGAAACCGGGTAGCTTCAATACCCTGTTACCAATCGAAAGGGATTTATTGCACAGGTCTGGATTCGTGAAGGACGTCGAGGCCAGTTATCAGATAGTATGATTCTAGGGTCGTACAACCTTTCGGAAAAGTTTGAAAACCTCGCCCGAATAGTCCCCTATGAAAGCTGTCGCTTCTTCTATTAGAGCTATAAAAAGGCCTGGAACCAGAATTCGTTCTGAACCCTCCTTTGACACATCCCCTTAATCCTATACACGGTAGGACAAATATCTCTTGACAATGTTAAAAAGTCCTATGGCAGTTTATTAATTAAACAATTATTTTATTTTGATTATGTTTGGTTACATGTTCTTGTCACCAGCTTACCAGCGTACAATTTCATTGATTTTTTTCGATATTATTCGTATGACCGGAACCTACTGGTGTGATGTCGCTGCCAATGAGTAATCTGCACAGTCATCAGTCACATATTTAATTTTAATTAATTAAAAATTTATTAGAACATAAGAAAGTATACTGTTATCCCAATACTTTTCTATTCGGTGCCATCCGTTCGTTGTTTGACGCTTGTTATATACAACTACCGGGCCCTGGTTATAAAACTGTGCTCGATCCATATTTATCTACTGCACATCCGGCCTGAAATGAAACTGCCCTACGCTTAACGAAATGCTAGGGTTTGCGAGCCAGTCATTAAATATGTTATCATCACCGGTTTTACTGGATACCGACTAATCTCAAAAAGTAATGGCCTGATAAGCGGCAGGATGGCTGCCAAGCCATTCGATCTAACCTAAAATCAAAGGTAATTTGGTGTTTGCTTCCTTTTCCCCAACCTCCGCCCGCTCGCCATCGCTAGTTTGTAAAGTATTGATCCTAATCCTTTACGCGTATGAATATCAGAAGCGGGTATCAGCCTCATTGTTATTGCTAAATGGGGCACGGGCTAGGAGGTAACATTACCGGCGGTTGGGGTCCTCTTCGTTTGGGCTGTAATTTCTAAAAACATCCAAACAGTTATACATTATTCTCGCCTCAATAATCCTAATATTCTCTCTCTCTCTTATTATATATATATATATATATATATATATATATATATATATATATGTAATAAAAACATTTACTTCTAATAATTTTCTGCGATAGGTCGGTCGATAGCTAAGTTTGGGAAATAAGGCGATATAATAAGTTCTTTTTAAATTGTTATGGACTATGGATATGTTTAGATAGCTGTCGATTGCTATAACAATGCTCTCAGCTACGGTACCGAAGTGTCGAATGAATACAAGAACGCAGCAACGAAGTCCCATACATCTAGTACTACCGGTAAGGCCTTTTTTTTTTTATCAAACAGATAATAAAAATATGTACTCGTTATCAGTAACACTAGGTGCAACGACAAGCTCTTTGACACACACACAATAACCGTAGATGTTGTCTCTTCATCATAACAACTAGGAAGGATGTATGCAAAATTCATTGCCGACACTATGATTCCACTGACTTTCGATGTTTCAGCTGGACCGCCGTCTTGCAGAATGGAGTTTGATAGTACCGCCAGCAAGCAGGGTAACTTCAGCTCTCCTGCATACCCAAATAATTATCCGGAAAACATGGAGTGCTATTACACCTTCAAAGGTAAAAAAAAACAATGAATATAAGTGTTAATTTAATTTGAGATTATTAAATAACGCTTACAAGACAATAACCCTACGCACACGATTAAGCAGAAACCCATTTATTTCTACGTTTTAAATCATACTCAGGTAAGGTGCTGCCGCTAAGCATTGCGTTCGAATCATAACATCTTTACTGAACTCAGGATGTAAACACGTTACCACTGACCCGTTGCGGCGTTTCATATAGGTCATTGGTTCAAGTGAAGGGTGAAGTCAGCAATCCGTTAGGTTTTGTACCTATATAGAGTGCTGGCGTTTAAGTAGCTCTGCTATAATCCAAAAGTCTGTCTACGAAGCCATACCCTTGGCCTTAGGGGATCTTCCAAAGTTTAACGGAGTTACTGCACAGGCAACTGGTGACTTCTCCGATTTATAAATCCACAAAATTGTAGGTGAGTTTTCTGCTTTCAGTTTTCGCTGCCACTAGGCATCGCTTGACACCGCTAGCTTGCAGGACGAAACATACCGTAATCTACGTCTGGATTCGAACCTACGCCACCACATGTCTACCACTGGAGGTGGCCTTAGACAGGCATGGACGCGGTTCCCAGTGATGCGATTCGTCTACATTTTACCTTGTATCACGAATCTATGTTTGCAATTTATGTTCTTCCATAAGCTTTCTTCCTATCTGAACAAACACCTATCTCCACAACCCCCCACAATCCTACAGGACCTGTTCAACCAAAAACACAGTGAAGCATTCGGTTTCGTCATTGGACAGCCATTAAATCTGCGTACGATTCGATCGTAAAGCGGAATCACTCAGGGATAACTTTTTTCTCGCATGACAACTTCCCGGACGTAGCGTTCCACGTCACTAAACCTAATGAAACAGTTTCATAATTTCCTGCAAGTGCGGCCTACGTCTCGTCGTTGTAAATTCTAGCATTTCCTCTCGTAACTGGCTGTCCGGCACGAAGCCAATCTGATGCGGTTTTATTGTACACAAAGTGTTGGGAGAGTTTGGCCGGACGCGCGCTTCCAACCCCGAATTAACGGCCCACCATCGATGCCTTAAAGGTTACACATATTACCCGTGTAACTAGTCACCTGCGGCAGTAACTCGACCTTTAAAAAGTGGGCCGACTCCAAGCAATGTCTTGGCCTTTTATTGGCGATAAGTTTGTGGTGGATTAAAAGGAAATCAAGGATTTTGATAGTAAATCAGAGAGCTGCCAGCAAATACGTTGCGTCGGAGATTTATTGAAAGAGAGCTGCTCCGTTAGTAAGGAAATGACGCAGCAGGATTGTGAGGTACCGTGTCGATTCTTCGTAAGAAAGTAGTTGCGTCAGACATTTCATCTTACGCCGCAGACCCGTTCATGGACCATGAACGGGTAACAAGAAGACCATAAGTATACACTATGCCGTTTGTGATTTACCGTGAACAAGGCACAGCTGACTTCAGCCAAGTAGTACCAAAAATATTACCTCCTACCGCAGACAATTCTATTCTAATTTGAATGTAACAAAAAAATTTTAAACGTTGATTTATTTTAGCTGCTTACTGCCGAAACTCTTCTTACTGTGAACAGTATGATTTTCAATACAAAAGGGTATTTGTGTACAAACCTTAAGCGTGTTTTGGGAAAGAAATTTATTAACGCTAATCAATTTCTCGTATTAAACGCATCTTAAGAGCGAGAAAAATACAGAGAAAAAAAAACAGCTACTGAAGACAGATTTTGAGCCTTATGTATTTGTGAGCCTAGCAATAGGTTACACCGCTTGCCATCTCATTACAGTCGACGTTACTGTAACGCTTAGGCCAGTCACTAATACGGAACACTACTTTGTGCCATATATATGGAAAATCATGTATTATTTCCTTCCCTTATAAATTGTTGTTCATCTGCTCTGAATATTTAAAACAATAATATAATAACTATAATAGTAATAGTAGATAAAGCATATCGACTAATAGGATAGAAGCTTATCTCATTTTTTCAATAAACAGTAAGGAAACATATATGAAAGATGCGAAGTTTCAGGTCATCGAGGGAGACATCGAAGTTTTTGGCAAATTCTATTCCAATTTGTCCCTTTAACGTTATTTACCATAATAAAGTGATTCTTGCCCACTTCGTTACGTTCGTGAGACGCGAACTATCATCAAGTTAAGTGCCCATTAGTTTGTTTCGATGATTAATTTCAATTGGCAGTATAAATTGTCCTGGCGTTTGGCACAGAATTATTCACAAAAATAAACATATAAACACGTATTTAACGTGGAAACAACACTATTCGATAGAGAGCAAAATGGTGCCAGTGAACCTTAAAGAACCTCGAGCAGTTCATGATTTGTAGTTCGTTTTGGTGCCACCATTTCACGTATCGATATTAGACTTATGTAGCCAAAACAGCTTTACTTTGTATTGGAGCCGTACGCCGGCTTTCAGATAAAAGACGAATTAATGTCAATGCTCCGGGAGGTTCTTCCTGATTCATTTTTTTTCAACCGAGTTAAGACACGTATAAAACAAGACCGATATATGACTGCGCCGGTATTTTCTATTCCGAAAGCCTGTGGTGCAAACAGGACACCACAGGCCTTGATCACCCCATCAATCTCGTTCTGCAGCCTACTCCGAATACATACAGGGCCTATTTAGAACGAAGAGATGTTCTAAAAGCCACTGCTATGTACACCTATCTTTCCCGTAACGCATAGACAACTAACTAGTGGGCCAACAGCTGTAGACGTTTATGAAAGTACGTAAATCAAATGCCAACCGCGGTATAGAGAACCATTGTGGCTTATAAACACAACGTGAGATCGTACGCGGGTACTGGCGCGGCAACTTCGTCTTTCTTCTAGTTGCCAAACCCAACCCACCCTATGGCGACACAGTTCGCATCTCATTTTTTTTTACTTTAAAAATAGATTTATCGGGCCTGATCGGGCTTTGCAAACATCGACTTCATTAGCCCATTTGTACCATACAGGTTTCTACAGAGAACATACATCCCGCAACCTCACTTATATGAGACAAGCATAACTACGAGTTAAAAAAAATTGTCTAAGTTTTATAGCAACCAGCTGAAATTCACAATTTCAATAGACACAGCTCACAACAATCCACGTGTAGTGGTCATTCTTGCATGTTGAGAGCAGGTGATTTGGCATCAGTAGCGTCCGCAGTAGACTATTAAGCGGTTCCTGAGACTTCACTGGTTACAGCGCCAGCACCCGCTGGGATCCCACTGCTGCTGTCTATAGTTATGGCCTAATAGGTCCAAGAAATTGAGGCGGACATGTGTAAGCGTTTCATCCGAACAACATCTGGTTATGATGGCAGAATAGTTATCTTCTTAAAGCTAAGGGTAGTGAGCCTCTCTCGATATATGCCTCGACGCCAGTGCACAAGAGTATAGACGAAAATTTGGCAATTACTTTGCTTCTGAAATTCATTTCTGTACAGCTCTGACGAAATAAAGGATGGACTTCAAAGGCGCTACAATACCGCCTTAAATCAGGAATCGGTAAGCACCTTAATTTGAATAAGTCGAACTGAAAATAGAACAGAAAATCTGGGAGACATCCGCAAACATTAACGGCTTATGATGTTAAGGCGAGTCATTCGAGCTTGCGCGAGCAGTTACATTACCTTCTAATCGTAGTAGTAGCCAGAGCTTCCGGTCTCATTCATTTTTCGTATCTATCTTCCGTAACACCGAAACAAAAAATATCCAAAGAAAAGCAAGGCAGCATTTTGTTTCCTTCAGACTACTGTCTATGTTGTCGGGGTACGCCCTTAAAGAACGACTTCAACGGGCCTAGTCTCCTGTAAACGAATTAAGATCTGTATTTTGCCACATCTATCTCGAGTCATATCTTGAGTGGTTCGACACTGTGAGCAATAGAATCGTTGTCGCATCACAACCAGTAACTTTTAAAAGAAGTTGCCCCACTCGGCCTGAATGAGTAGTGCCTATATGTGCCCAGACCACGCCTGAATACAACAAAGTCATAGCGAGGTCGACGATACACCTTGACTATCACAGACGGCATAGGAGCAGAATGCAAGCAAACTGAAATTTCGACTGCTCAGATACTTGCATATTCATGAGCATAAAAAGCATTTTTAAATACGGGCGTGCGTGATTCCGGTGCCTAAACCAAAGCCGCTCTACGTACGGCAATTTAGGTCGCAGTACGTAAGTGTTGACTTTCGAGAGGTGCAGCGCCGTTCTGCATTTGGAATTAACTTTCCTGTGACTGTGCTGTTTTCTAGAGTTTTGGCAAATTGACGAAGGTTGTGACGAAGGCTCTGTGTTCAGCAACTGACGATAACTTCTTCTTTGTGACTTTTATTATTCAAATTAGGATAATTCCTTGTACCTGTAGTTTACTCGGCGCGATACTTACTTTTCAACCGGAGGAAATGCATTGAGTATGATACTGGAAGCCCGTTATTGTTGTTTTTGTTAGCCCAAACATATATCTCCAATAGTTCCTCACCTATGAGTAAACCAAATAATCTACAGTCCCCCTTAAACCTTGCGACACAGCATTGGCCACGAGTACCCGGCAGTAAAAGTAGCAGTCGAAGCGTATAGTCCCTGTTGTGGCCCGAGGCTAGGTACGCGTAAGTGCCCCCAGACATCCCAGCCTGGGAGCCTAGGTAGGAGGTAGACGCCAGCAAAGAAATTTCATCAGAAACTCTGTTCGACAACTCGAAGTAATTTCAAAATGCCCTGCCTTACCATTAGCGCTGAGAAGCATCTCTGGTAAGCATGACCGTCTTTGGACAACGAGGCACTCCCTAGCCAGGTACGTGCTTCATGCTGGCTTCTGCTGCCGTCGAAGCACTCAACCATATAGATCATTGTAGTTTTTTGAGCATTGATCACTCAACGCAGTTTTCCTGTACTCGTCGTAGTAACCGCTGGCGCTATTGTGTCCGTTTCGAGTAGTCAGACATCGCTAACTAACCAGCCGGCCGACGAATCAGCAACTAATAACCTCGAAACAACCGTGGAGAACTTTCAAGCTACTAGTCTGAGTGGCACATGGGAATACACCAACGTAATTCAGCTGGACGTTGTCCTGTAGAACGGATCTAGGGGCTGGGTTAAGAGTCTTACGTTGCATCGTACACGTTACAGCACGCCAAATGCAGACAAAGTTCCTCATGAACCTTAGCTAAGTACACTAACGACAGCTACTACGACTATTAAACAGCATTAGAACAACATCGGCTCTCCTGAGCGGCGGGCCTGCGTGTATCAACGAATAATATTTATCACTATACAGCTAGGCCTGATAATTATAGGAAACATCGACAGAGGCTCCCTGCCACCTAAAGCCAAGTTCAGTAGCCGGTTCTTCAATGGCGAAAGATGAGATGCGCATGCGTAAAACGCAGTTACGGTCTCTAATAATGGAGATGGTGGTTAAATCTATAAGGCACGAAAAGCACGACGCAACGTATTGTAAAGTAGAAAGGCGAAACGAAGATGAGATGCTTGCGATGGGGATTTAACAAATAACATGTTAGAAATAAAACAATGGCCTAATACTTTCGGTAGCGGTGCTTGAATCAAATTCAACGGCCGCTTAACGTAAAGAGTGATTCGATTCAGCCTTGAGAACAACGCAAATACAACAACATATGGAGGAACAACACGTAAGAGACGTTGGGTGTCAGATCTTACAAGCGCCTAAGTCAGTCAAATGGTTATAGTATATACCGCATGAGAGACGCGAAAAAAATAACTTGTTAATTATTATATCTCGATTTTGTTCTGTTAAATAGAGTTATATTCTGTTTGGCCAATATTAATATTGCCGTCACTTATCGTTTCCTTGATGTCATGCCTATACTGTTGCGGTAACACGACAACTTAAACTTAACTTTTTGCCTATATGGTTCGAAGAGACATACAGTTCTGTAGTATACATAGAGCTATCCGTAATACCGAAACGTATGAATTATTCTATCGAAATTACAAGGATGCTTATGAATTGCTACTGGCTAAAAGGAGTCATAACAGCAACAAAATATAGAGTCGCCCATATTCTTTCAATCTAGCGACGCTTATGGGAAGAAAAATGAATAGATCTTCAATCCCTTACAGCGTCAGTTGTTTTTGATATTATAAAGTATAAGAGGGGAATATTTGAGAATAAATAATAATGGCAAGCTGGCGATGTCGTGTAACGCATTGTGTCAGCAAGACGTACCTTATCAGAGCCTATACACTAAAAGCGATAGACAAGACCTCGTGTGTCGATACGGTAATGATAAAGTAACATGAAACAACAAGGAACTATGCGAAGTTCCGATCCTGTACAGGCGACGCGTAAATGTATATATTTTGTAGCAAGCAATAGTTTGTTACATTTTCCTCATCGTGACGGATGAAGTTTTGAGCTATATGAGATATATCCAAACTTCGTCCAATTGTGCCCATTATAGCAGCCATATCGACAGTGGGTCACGCAATGGTATTTTGCAATACCTGTTACCTAAATAAGGTATCCAGAGAATGGGAAGGAATTCTTCATCTGGCAGATTTCGTTTTCTCTATACATCAGATGATTATTGTTCCTGCCAATATACGTCAGTGAGCCTGATACAGAGTATCATTGGTCCTACGGGGGAAATATCGACGTACCATTTATCGCCCTCTCACAGCCAGTCCGCCCAAATACCTACTTGATCGCTATGTAAATACTTAACATGTGCAAAATATATATAGTCGACACTATACACATCTATTACACAGCGTAAATATATTCATATCAGACACCTTTCGCGTGGCCTATTCTCTAACAATAATACATACGTGATAACAGTTAATCCTACGGTAACTCTATATAAATATATACATTATATTGTATGTGAGCACTGTCTCCGTAAAGGCGCTGGCGAAGCAAGAGGGAACTTAATAGAAGGTCACAACATAAGCTACATTCAACCTAACAACAACTATTCGACCGTCTTTGAATTAAAGGCAAGAGTAAATTAACTAATACAAGTTAATTTACTTTTAATTACAAGTTAATGAATTAAGTAAGCTAATTAAGACATCATACCAGTACCTCTATCGAACTGAAAGTCCAACCCAAATTTGATTCGCGCGGAAATTCCGCACCAACTTAAAGTTGTAATCGACGAGTTTACTGTGCAAACATGCAACCTAAAAATAAGGTCTATATATATATATATATATATATATATATAATGGTCTGAAGAAGGCTATATATATTCTGTGTGGGCCAAGCAGTTAGGCAGGGCCGTTTTGTTAGGCAGCGACATGTGAGGAAATATAATACTGTAGCTTGTTTCATAATTAGGAGGTCACCAGAAGTATGTAATTAGCTAAATAGATAGGAAGATATATAGAGACGTGCCTTACCCCTATACAGCTAACTAAAATAGCAGAGGAAGCGCGGGAAAAAAGAGCATGCTTTCACAGTCAACATCTTTTCATGTAATAGACTAAATATCTGGCAGATGAAAGGGCCAAATATAGCTAGCTCATTCGACGTATTAGTTAGTGCGTAGTGGCCTCGACCAATTATTTCGTATTAAAATGAAATCAAATTCTGTATAAAGAGATAGAAATACGAGCTCCACATAAGACTAGGGTAACTTTTGATAAATAAGTTAGACATGTGTTAAAAAGTAGATATGGAGAAAGAACTGTTTCACGCTAGCCACGTAGATAAACTTTCTGAAGATCTTCCCGCAGGAATAGTCTCGGTCACAAATTCTTCATCGTGTAACTCAGACTATTCAGTCGGCATCGTAGCGGCGGTCTGTTAGTCCACCCCGTGACGATGCAAAGAAAAAGCTTACTTTGCTACAAAATTGATTGGCACAAGCATTAGTCCGGCTTGGACTCGTCTCGTACGGGAAACGATCGCCAGCTGCCTAAAGCAATGCTTAACGACAGTTGTACTGGACTTAAAACTTGAAGCACTTCTTTATATAAATTATTAAATAATTCTGAAACGAAAGTTATTATCATTTATGCCGTGACAATGCTATAACAATACAAATGACCAATATGATGCAAAACATGCCCTTGTCAAAACTACGAACGGCATGTTCTATTGTAAGTTCATATGCAGTAACATTTTTATCTATCTATGATTCACTCGCTCACTCACTCCTTCGATTCATCTCTACTGCAGGCCAAGAATCGGAAACTCTTCGTATTACCTTCTACGAGTTCGAGCTAGAAGAACCCTTCCAGAAAGGGTGCCTAAATGATTTTGTCGACATCTCCACAATCAGTGTAGCAAACGTCAAGCAGCTGGTCGGGCGCTTCTGCGGCACGTACGTGCCCGTACCGCTGCTCACGATGAAGCCACGAATGGAGATTATCTTCAAGGCTAACCATGCCCGGTCCGCCAAAGGTAGGTACGCCTTTACTTACGGGGGCAGAATAGGACAGGCGATGCCATTAGTAGCGTATAAATCTTAATGCCTTTGTTGAGGTAGCAGAGGTGGGGCGAACGTCGATGGGGTAATTGTTGCGACAAGTGGTACGTCTCCTGAGAAATACAGCTGGATTAGGAACGCTCTTGAAGGCAACCAAAGAGAGATACGAGAGAAGAGAACGTGCTTTAGAAACCACAGTTGTTATTATGTATATGTATTTTTCTGAAGCGTGTTTTATGGTCCAACTGTGTCCACTAAAAGATAAAGACAAGAGTCAGTAAAAACATTTGATGGACGGTTTATCAATCATCATTTCACCTTTCCATTCAATCTGCATATAATTCTCGTAAGAGACGCTTGCAGATATCTCAATTAGTCGAAGAGACCCATCAAGGCCAAAAATAATATTGTAAACTATAAATAAAAGGCGCCGCAATCAGTCCTCGTCTTTTTTCCGTCATGGCAAATGACCGTTCTGTTTATCGATGGGGCTGAGCCGCCTCACCGATATTCCCTTGCGGTTATCGTTTGTTTCAGTGATAGGATTTTGCCGTATAAAGCAGGCTCCGCTTCTGCATGCCGGAAAAAATTTACGTAAGCGACGCAATTTCTTAATCATTTTCTGAAAAAAAGACATTTCTGAAAAAGCCGTCGGCTGGAAGATTCAACTCGAGACCTGGTAGGCCTGAGTTCGCAGCAAAACAAGAATCGAAGTTACAACAGGATGTGTTAGACACTGAGAAGTAAAAAAGTAGGACAATTTTTTTTGGCTTGCCTTCGATTGGGCAAGTTGGTCGATCGAACTGGGATTGTAATGCCGCGACCAATCGTTCTGTGGTGCCACTGTTATTGTTAGTGTGGCACAATTATTATATTATGAAGCGGAATTGACGGAAACAGGTTCGATCCGGTTCGACCATTTTCCGTTAGCAAAAACAGTCGAACGACAAAAGCTTGGTGAAGGACGAAGGGTATTAAGGAGACATTTTGTTTTTGCGAGAAATTATCGAAAGGAATAAAAACATCCTCACACTGAACGAACTGGGAGACAAAGCATGACAAAGGTAGTAGTCAATGCGGTCATTCGATCAGAGCCGTTAAGGAATTGACGTACCTTCCTGGTAACAGGTTATATTTCAAATAGATACCGCTCAATCGTTTGTGTCTCGGCCTAACACGACATAAGGTAGAACCTACCTAGTACTCTAACAGTGGCTATCTTTCACTACACTCAAGTAGTAGATCTTACGTATTAACGAGGTGAGACACAATAAAAAAACTTACATTCTAAAATCTACAGTGGCTAAACATGGTTATGGGTAGTAGTTGTGTCGGCCGTTGAAGCTAATCAATAGGCTCAAATTACCCCCCTTAAAAAACACCTACTTGAACACTGCTCGACAGATTCCTGTTTTTTGATGCGATTAGTCAGGATGGGCCATAGGCAGCGGGGTCTTGCTGGAATCGTTTAGGGAACCGCGCCGTCTAGGCAAAAAGTGCAACGGCCAAGTGATGGCAATTGCAGCCTTCGAAGCATGTAATAGCCCGTCAGTTATCGCAACCCTTTCAGACGCCGTCCTGGACACTGCAGTAGACTATATACAAATCGTAGCATTTTACGCTTTTCGAGCGATCTGCAAGACATTTTGGGGTCAGGTTTTAAGCGAATTATAACTAATTATCATTATTCAAATTAGGAACGCTGACATTATTACTGTGCATGTTCGTGTTCGAGGTAATCCCATGTTTGAGCCTCGTGTCTTTGGCTAGGACTCGCGACGCAAGGGGCACAAAGATACGCAATATTGTTGCTGCGCCTAGAAGGTTCATATTTTGAGGTAGAATTTGAAGGCCTTTAGCATAAGCCTAATCTAAGGGTCTAATCCAAGGTGACTATCCGTCCTGATCGCGGTGAACACGAAGGCTGGTCAAATTGTGCAGTTAACTAATACCCCTATAAGCTGCCGTCGGCTTTCATCATTTGATGTGGCTAATAATTAACGACCGTAAAGGGTATCTGTACCGAATCTTTGTTAGGTTTAATCTAATGAGTCCGCTGTACAAGTCAAGCAGAATATCCACGACTTTCATGCAGAGACAATTTTTTGCGACAAATGCGACGAGCCATATTCAAAAAATGACGATCTCGTTTATAATAGAAAACGCCAGTACAATTCAAGAGGCAAGACGGATGCTGCGGAAGCATACGCGGAACATTAAGCCCGCGGAATTTGAAACTTCATTCTGACAAGAGCCTCGGTGAACAATAGCTTCGCGCATGCAATTTCCATATTACCGACGGAGGAATTCAAAAGGGTTTACAAAAAGGGGGTGGGACTAGGGTATAGAAAAGGATTTTGACATTTCAGTGGGACTATGCATCGTTATCGTGTTTACAAAATGGGGTTCACATGTAAACTTTGGTCTTACTTAGCTTGGCTCATGCTAGCTAGGCCTTAAGTGTAAGGCACAATGGCACTACCGGATGTAAAGTTCGAAAGATTTAGTTCTGAGATTTCAAATGAAAATTCGCTTATTGTACGTTTTCCTTCACGGCGCAATGAATCAACTGTATGATGTTGTTGTACGTGTCTCAGCATTCATTTCTCATGCTCTTCCCAATTATTGACCTTCGGTGCACGCAGTGGGTCTTCAACTAGCGATCTCCGAACTGTTTCGGTAGGAAGCTCAGCCGCCAAAGTGTTTGTATGTGTATAAATTCTTTTCAAACTTTATACATGACAACAAAAAAATACCAGGAAGCGAGTCTAGAGTGTTGAAACATTTTTAGCCATTTAAACATAATTTTTCAACAAATCGAAACTGCACCAATATCTGTATTAGTCCTTTGGCTATTTTATTCAGTATGGAATTAGTCACCTATGCGATACGGAGCACAATGGTCGGTTTCCGGGCAACGCCAGTTGCTTTGTGTAGCTCAGTTTTAATGTCCCAGACGGCGGAAGGACACTCATTACATGAAGAGTCAATATTTGCTGTACACGTTAACTGTCGTCGTGCAATGATTGATGGCCCTGCCTTTGCCTGAGGCAAACTCATTTGCATAGCCGAGGAGGGTATGCGCGACCTAAAATTGAGGCGACAATTCTTAAGCCTAGAACCGGTTGTGTAAATAAATGATGCATAAGTACAACGAAATCGTATTAAACCTGCCGTTTACACTAAGAACCAAATACCTTATTCAAGGTCAAATAATGGAAAAATAAACACACGTATGCCCATTGGATCATAAAATCGAATTTCCTTCTCTCCCTGAACGCAATTATGTTGCAAAAAACTTGTTTAATCATACATTAACACCACCGGGTGAAGGTCGACATTATATTTCTTCGGTTTCGCACACCTTGCATGAAACTAATCTTCCGCCTTCTTTCCTGTTCTCTCACATTTTCGGTTAATTTCAGGATTCTTCGGGCATTACGAGTTCACTGACGAGAGTTCCGTACCGCCTCCGCCGTCATCCAACCTAACAGGTTGTGGGGGTACCTTAAGCGGTGTCGGAGGTATACTCACCTCACCTTATTATCCACATTCTTTCCCTAAAGATGTTGACTGCGCGTGGCTCATACGCGTCGATTATGATAAACATATCTACCTGCGAGTGCTCGAGCTGCAACTAAAAGGTGCGTCATACTTAAGGATATAGCCCTAACCAGTACTCTGTCTGATTTAAGTTGTCAAGCGGTAGACTTATTAACGATAAAGCGAAACTGCGTCAATTAGGACTTCTTCCGGCGGAGGCTCTTCCGAGTTTCTTGAGCGAGAAAAGGTGCACATAGCTATGAATTTCTGTTTTGGTTACAAGCACATCCAAGGTCACTATATCGCGTTTAACTTGAAGATAATGTTTAAAATCGAGTTCTCTCAGTTGCTACGAGTATGCTTGTCCAGTAGATGTCAGTAATCTACTTCCGATTGTGTTTCGCGCATGTATATATATATATATATATATATATATGCGCGAAGAAAAGGCCGATCATTTTTTTCTACTTTCTCGGCTTAATTTCTGCGATGGCGGCTTTGTGAAAGTAACAGGGCTGGCTTGTCCATCTTATCGGCTTTAGAGAGCACAAAATGATGGGTTTTCAACCAAAAAAAATAGCGTTCCTGCGAAGCACACTCATTCGTAGCAGTAATAGGAGACTAGGTAAGGCCACCAACTAGATTATAAGCAGCTTTGTTTTTATTTTTGAAAAAAGGACCCAGCAGAAGAGTCTCAAGTGTGCATCACGGCCGATCAGGGTTCGTCTGATGCTCACAAAGCTGGATACTGGAGATTTTTATTACCTTTTGGAAATAGGCGAACGACTTGTCATCGCGGGTTCCTCTTTACTACTGCGAAACGTTGCCCCACGTGGCATCAACACTTACGATGTTAAGGATAAGGAGCACTGCCATCTCCAGGAGTGCTCCTAAGTACATATAATACTTCATAGGCTTTGGAGATGAACAATGTGTTCACTCACACTAAACTGTTCTTTTAGTTAACCTGCTGAGCATCATCTAGATAATGAGGATCTAAGAACCTGTAACGAAAATAATAGGTATCTCTCAGGGGGGATCAACATTCGATAAAGAAGAAAGGACCCACAAAAACGCCTTTTTTTGTTCTAGGCACTTGTCATTCATTCATTCATCGACAACTGCAAACAAATTTAGCTTAGAATGAAGACGTCTTAGTTATTGTTGCTGTTAGTTCTCTCTTTTTTTTTTTCGTTAACTTCAGCCTGTAGCGACGACAAAAGTGACCGAAAACCGTTCGACTGGTTATTGTCACAGTTACTGCTATCGAAGTATGTTGTGCGGGTGCGTCTTCTTGCATGTTAATATAAACATCTAGCGTCCACCTCGAACTATGTCGTCAGCGTCCCCTTAACTGATAGGGGTGGGTAGTAAAACCACTGACTTGACACGTACCATATATGACATTATAAATATATGTACGGAACCTGTGTGCTAGTGTGAAATACATAAGAGACGCCTATAGAAATTAGAGAGGCAGACAGATTTCAAGGCTATAGGCAAGTTTTCTACGATCATCACTTCGTGAGGTGTGTGTGACCTTCGAAAAGCGGTCTGAAATTATCTTTGAAGTCGGAGCCCTTCCTGTGAAATTTAGCCTTGGTGCTGGGCGCCGTTGTTTCTTGTCTGTCATAGACCGATTAAGAGAAGTGTCTAAACGGTGCCGGTTAAGAGTTTGAAGAACATATTTCTGGCACAGGAAACAAATGGCTGAAAGCCATTTGATTTGTATGAAGGGTACCCTCGAGATTATTTCTACGATATTAGTTTAAATGTCTAATGCTACTTCACTGTAGGGTATTTTTCCTTTTGTATTGCTTCTTCACTATTGCATTGTGGGACAGTGGTAGGTATTTATGATGGTCGGACACTTCTTCTTTGGTCATCTTATCTATTGTCTAAAAAATCCCCTTTTTTTTATCCTTGCTGTTATGACGTCTCGGACCCGCCTTATCTAATTTACGTGTCCTAACACAACCAGGTCCTAATAGAAACCCCTGGCTTTTTACTCCGACATATATCAAGGCGAAGGAACAGTAGGCCTACGCACGGGCACAAGCAATAGCTTGCTAGAATCTATTATTGATGTCATATATAAATGTGGTAACCAGCTTAGCCGTTCACCGTCACTATATCGATCAGGTATTACAGATGGCCAATGCACGTCATTAAGAAATACCAGCCTTCCACGATCGATCAGTTGCGGCCGTATCTCATGTCTCCAGTTCTAGTGATATGTATAAAAGACAGCCACCGCCAGATTGTTGTCAGAGCCACTGTGAGACTTCCGTTGTTGATGTTGGCTATTTTGGCATACCGCAAACCGATATGAAGACAACTGTTGTTACACCCGTAATCTTGTTCTCCAGTGGAGGACGTCATTGCGCAAGATAATTTCGTCCTCGAACTTAAACTTCAATGACGGTCAAGCCAGTCTGCCGGAGGCTTCGCAAGGACAATGTTGAAGATGCTGATCACGCATAGCGATAACTACGTCAACGCTTTTAAACTATAAAGCGGAAAAAAGCGGTTAATTCAAGCCCCGCAGATGACATATACTAGACGATTAAATGGAAAAACAATATCTAAGGATTGGCTGGAGCACAGATCGTAATCGTGGGAGAAGTCAAATCGGATCGTTCATCTAAATGAAATTCATGCATGAACCCAAGTGCTACCATCACTGCTGACGACAGCTATTACATTTGTGCGTACCTCAATAAAAAAACAGCATAAATGATTCGCTTTTTGTCAGCTCTGCGAATACAGTTCTCGTTTACTTAATAACTTTATCATTTCTTGGCCTTCTTTGAGGTCAAAATGCTTGCTAACTTTAAGGAAACATAGTTACTGTTTCATGCTAGGATGTGTCCAGTCGGCCGAAGTACAACTGAGGAGGCATTAGCATGTAGAAAATTCAAAATATTCATTTTGTATCTCTGCAGGTAACTGCCTTCAACGCAACTTGCAACAGGAGACACTCGTAAAAAGGAATGAGCCCGTGGCCTTTTAATGTGCACCTTGTGTTCTGTGATGCGGCACGTTTTATACTCTGTGTAATGTGTATTTATGTACCAGTTTTACGCACTTACTTGTTCTGTTTTAACAATTATGTTAATTCAGTATTGAACTAGGATTAAGCCGAAACGCTGAACCAGCGGCTTTAGCTCTAGGGTATGGCTGACGTGAATTAGAAGAAGAGACATGATAGAGGCGTCTGGGTGTTTATAGCAACGCGCTTCCTATGCGATTGTGTGGTGCTTAGGGGTCTGAGAGGTACTTAGTGTAAGCACAAATCTAAAATGACTATAAAGAAGAAGTGAAAGGCTAGACAGGCATGGGGGAAGGTCTGTGCGTAAAATTTTGAACGTCGTTGATTGCTATATGCTCTATATTTGATGTTTGTGCTCGTTAAACTAATCAAAACATCTTCATCGATGCATAAATATGTGCAATAACAGGTCTGTACTGCGCGTAAATACATACGCTCTTTAGGAGAAAGGTGGCCATATACAGAGCACCATAAACGCAAGTTAAAGCAAATGGGGTAACGCAAAAAAACCAGTTTTCGTTGACCCTGACGGCACTCGACATGCGCCTTAGCCTTAGACCATGAATTGTGTTCGAATAGGCATCAACAAATGTCCCGCCAAAGAAGCTACAATTGAAGAATTACAATTTCATATGTCATATATAGAAATCCAAATGCAAAACTGGACAAGACGAGTCTACCCACAAGCTTAAATCTTCACTATGATACTTCCATAGGGATATCGTGGTCCGTAAAGGATTACCGCGCTGCTACAGACACATCGACTGCCTCTTTTTTACACAGTGTTCTTTACATTCTTCATTTATTCGCACCTATCGTGTGGTATGTGTTATTGGCGGGGCTTGACCAACGGTCTTCCTGCGGCCGGCTTTCTCACCCAGAGGGTTAACTGTTTAACCTACCCCGTGGGCATTATAGTCCTTACCTGGTGACGTTATATCCTGCACCGCCTCATTTTCCCTTCTAGAAATGTTATAAGCGATGTCAAAATTTGTTCTGCTACGAGTCACATCAGTGATTCTTACCTGACAAACAGCTCCAGCAAAGATGGCTAGACACGTTTGGGTACAGGAGAATTAGCAGCAACCGAATTTTTCAGCCTTTGTTACTAAGTCGATTTTGGCCTGGTGCGTTCGGCCGTGTTGTTCCGCAGGGAGTATCGCGAACTGTGGTGAGGCAGAACTTGCTATCTATGACGGCTATTCGAATATTGATGTCAATCCGGTACCGTTGAAGCGATACTGCGGTGACTTGAAGTACTACAAGAATACCGAGGAAAAAACTCAGCTGTCACGTCGGAACCGTGTCGTGGTCCGGTTACGGACAACGGTAGCGTCGCCACAGCGGCACGAGGGTGATATCATTGGCTTCAAATTAGTCTGGACAGCTGTTACGTTTGCCGACCAGTGCGAACAATTTACCTGTGGAAAGGTTAGTGGATCATTTAGTCCTCTACAGAGATTATTCAGGGAAAATTACCTATTATTATTATTATTACACGGTCGCGGTACGAACGTTTTTTCGTAAACATGCATGCTGCAGTAACTTACGTGTCTTTTACAGAAGAATGCTGACTTTTGCGACTTTAACAAAAACCTGATGCGCTTCCACCAGAGTGTACAAATGCAATGTCTATTTTGGTCGCAATTTGCCTTACCGCATTGTCGTGATTATCTTAAGCGTTTCTCAGAAAACAGACTAAAAAAGGGCTTGTCTTGTCTACGCGACAAAAAAATCTGCAGCTTAAAATGATTTAGTAATTACTCTCTAGGCAAGTCCTCGACCCAATCCGTTTGCATTCCACTTTCTGCCGATTTCAAATTTACCTACGTCCCACCGCGTTTACGCCCGGTTAGATTGGGAAAAAATGGCTCTATCGTTTCGCTGTTGTTTTTGCCTTCGTTGTTGATATCGTTGCTAGCGTACCAGATCTTCGATGCTGCCTTTTTATTTTAGTGTCTTCACAACGATGAAGACATGGAACGGTTGACGTGTAGAAACTTTCCTAAATGAGTCTGCGTGCTCGGTTAGCGGCTTTTAAATGCGGGATTTCCTTTTAAGTGCAACTTTTTAGTTGGAAGAAAGAAGATGCTGAGAAAGAGAGAGTTGCTCCGTTCTTACATGCACGAATAAGTGAAAAACGTACGTTGGCGGAGCAAAAAGTGAAGTTGCGGCAAATTGTTGGCGGGCAAACTAGCTCAAGACGTTTTCTTAAAATCTTCTTCAGACCCCCGGGGGACGAACACAAGTGCAAGCTCCTACAGGCGCAGCTTGGAGAAGTCGGGTGGGAGGCGACTAAAGCCATAAGGAAAATGCGGATGCGTCTGAGAAGTTCTAATGCTGTCAGCAGCTAGCCCGTCGCCGAGAACCGCTTCTGCTGAATGGCGCAGTGCATCACACACAAACTGCGGCCCAACGAAAATATAGTGAACGAAAATCCCATGAAAAGAAGAACTGAAATTGATTTATGGGCCGCTATCCCGTCAGCGGCTGATTCCTGCGCATGATTGCGGATGCTTTCAGGTGGCAAGTTTCGTAGCGATTTAGAGTAGGAACGCAAAATGCTTTCTAGAAATTAGAGTTGAAGTTTTAAGCGCGGCCAGAAGAATTGTACGCGATTGGGATGACCCAGAATCGGTCTTGTCGAAAGCTTTCTTCTTTTTTTCAAGCTACGTAACGCCCCTTAACCGTACCAGCAAGCATGCTATGGGGGAAAGGTGTTAACCCGTCTAGCAGAACATTTTTGTCAAAAAGCTAAGCGAAAGGGGTAAAGCTAAATGGCTTCTATCTGAAACCATCTGAGGCGATTGGCGAAGTGTTTGCACCCCCATTTATTTGCGCCGACCGCTGTTAGGACGGCTGCGTTCTCGGTAGCGTCTTCTCGTTTCAATGCTGTAATTGCCGCGCCTCCTACTATCAGCAGAACAGGTATCAAGTCACGCCGGACGGTTCAAGAAACATTAACAACTGAAAGCAACTGAGGGGTTCGAATGGAGGAAGATCGGAAAGAAGATGGTGGAAAGGTAAGGAAAAAGCTCTACCCCATGACCACTTTCTCACGTTGTCGTTATCGGGGTGTCGGAATCAAGAAAAAATAGTTGGAAGGTGCCGAAAAGAATCAAAAACCGGCGGGAATGGCGGCAATCCCGTTTTTGTATTAAGTGTCTTTTCTTTGAGTCCTAGCAAGCTGCTCTAATAGGAGAAAAGTGAACTGGCCAGATGGCTGCCGTGAGCTTGGAGCTCCATTGACGCCACAGACGGGATTACGGGGTACGGGCCAGTGGTATTCCATGATTTCGTTCAGGCAAAGTATGAGTGTTTGTGAATGTAAAGCGTCAAGTACATGGTGCTGTGCTAACGTGTAGCTAGCCTATTTAAGTGGAAAAACGTATGTGCGTGATTATTTACAAAGCTAGTGTAATTTGGCATGCCAATGAAGTTAATAAGAACGTAACACGGTCAGCTCTTTCGTTCAGTCACTACGTGCGGGTGATCATTTTTGTCCGTGGTCTCCTAAAGACACTGGTGGAAACTGCGGAATAACTGAAAAGATGTAAAAATTGAGATAGCTCTGCGTTAAATACCGACGAGTAGATGGTTCTGATGCTTTACGTTGTGGGAAGAACGTGACATTCTTTAAGGACAAAGTTGACTTTACTATTAAAAAACATGAGCCTATACAAGCAATGGTTATGGCCCAGCAGATGGTTTGTCTGCAAGTGCATAGTAGATACATAAATTCAAGTCGAGTTGTTGAGATTGATGCTGATAAATGAAAGGTACTATTAATCCAGGAAGTGTACGAAAGACACTGAATTCTTTTCACTTTGTTTCAGTAGGTTTGTTTTTGACATCAGTCCTTCTCTATCGCCATTTCACGCCCAAAATACACATATACATATATTATTAGATCGTGCTCACTAGCTCGTAAGTCGAATGACTACGCCGATCTGGATTTTATGACACGTGCAACGGTTATTCTTTGCCCACCTTCCAGCATTCATGTTTGGGGCATCTAAAAGCCGCTCTTGCCAGTAGTAGACAGCGGACCGCTGCTCTGAACGGCATACCAGAATCAATTCGGTTCTACTGCATTGCGCTCTTACCTGTTCGCTAACACAGTATTACCTATATCCACCTCCGTAATAATCGTTACTGGTATTATATTTGTCCGCTTCGTACAGAGTCAGTACTGCGTGAACACCGAGAGCGGGACGTGTAACATGTCGCTGACCAAGAATTATTGCATCGATCGTACGCTTCAGTGTGATGGCGTGCCTAACTGCAGCGGTGAGGACTCATCAGACGAGGATAAATGTCGTCTTCCGTTGTTAGCCGGATGTGGAGCTGCTAGTGGTGTATTAGCACTCATTGTCCTCGTTTCGCTCACTTGCGTGAAGTAAGTATTGGTATATATGTAAGAACGGTTCTTCTATTATATATGAACTCCTGACTTTTTGCTTGCTCATTTAGCAACTACGCTTTACCCACTGTAGTGACATGTTTCCTATGGCTGTGGTTGGAGACCGACTGAAACTCTGTCTCCAGAATAAATTTGAAATGCTGATCCCCCAGTTTTTTTTTTTTTCTTTTTTGCTGTGTTTATTAGAGTGCAGCAAGGCTGCTCGCTGCAATGTCCGAAAGCAGTTAGCATCTTCTCAATTTCCGGTAAACGCTTAAAGTACAGCCTGCCGATAAGTTTGGAAAGTTTTCGCTGTGAGTAACCCTTCGCCCCCTTGCTGCCCCAAAAGATTATTTGCGAGTCCTGTCTACCAATCTTAGCGCTTAGGCCGGGCCACAAATGAATACAGGGCCTCCATTGCCACCACTGAGTGAACCAGCACCCGAGAACTTAACAGGAAATCCACAAGCTGATAAAAGTAATTACAGTGAAAACGGCCGTCTACTGGCATCCTACTTATTGTGTCAATTAGGTTGCCGCCTTGCTTACGGCCGTCGCCATTCAGCGATACGCCTGCTTGCAGAAGCGGCAGCGACGGCGGCGGATGTATAATACAAGTTTACGCGGCTGACCTCGCATGCGCAACGAACGAGCGCGTAGAGGACCTGTTTTGTTAAGAAAGAAACATTCATAATAGTAAAACGAAAACAGATCCGACTAGCAAATACTAACTATATGGATTAGCTGTTACGTCCGGGACGAATACGTTATCCGAAGGTGATTCTCGAAAACATCCATTACAAAATAGCTACGTTTAATCAATGATCCAAAGCCCGAATTTGTGTGAATGTTGCCGTGTCTCGTACGCCGAGACCTCCCGCTGAACTATGTCTAACAGACCAAATCTAGAGAACAACGGCTTGTCTAGACTACGAAAAACTACTTCTTTTCTATGTTGCGGCCTATGACGACCGTTCTAGCTATTATCGGCGATGAGCTCATTTTCTCGCGACTATAATCTTTGGTGAATATACTTACGGGTCTTATTAAGCTATTTTATCGGTTTCAAGTCACAAATGTTAAAAAACAAGTTGATTTCCGGCCACTTGAAAAGTTAGCATAGCTGATTAAACTGGGGAACAGTGCAGGAATTTTCCTATTTTTGATAGGTTCAGTTCTATAAGGCCTATAAGGAAACGAGATGAAGCTAGAAGCTGTGTGATACTGTATCTCGTCTCAGACTGACTATGGACTCTTTTGTAAATACTTACATTTGATTTTAGAAGTAATCATTCAATTTATGTGTCGTCACGTTTTTCAATCAATTTTCATCAAGCTGAATATCCTTCATCAACTATACGTAGATGTTATGATATTGAAATGCGTATATGTAAGACTACAGTATGCCTGCATGAACCGTATGCACGTGTATATGATGAAAGGCAGCGGTCCCTGCTGCACGACGGCTTAAATTTATGCCGATAGTGCAATGGAACCTGTTTTCACTATGTGATTGATCGTGGCTGACCGTACCACAAAATGGAATTTATAGCTATTTGTGGCCCTCAAATAACGAGTTTTTTTTTTACATCTCTGAGTATTGCTGCGTTTTGACTAACTCTTTTCGGGAAAACCGTCTGCTATACCTGTTTGGTGCCGACGGTGCAATACGCTTTTCTTATTTATCGGCAAAACATAGTTTTCTCTCTTTACTTCAATGTGTTGTCCTATAATCTTCCATCACTATTTACCTAGACTCCCACACGCATAGCCACCCGTGCGAAGAGCGGTTACCTACCTACCTATGCAAATAGTCACTTCTTATGAAAGCGTTCCTTGGGCTGCTTTCATGACTCGTCTTTCTGTTTCTGTGTTCAGCGGTTTTTTCTCATGTTCCCAATTATTCCGTTTTTATTCAATAAATAGCCAGCCGTATTTCCTGTTTCGGCCTCCTATCTGCTCTATTTACTCGTCATTCCCTTCCTAGCGGAAGGAAAAGGAAGCTTAGTGCTTGAGTACCCGTATCATTCTGTAAGGTAGCCAACGTCGTCGTCCAGGAAGAGCCAACAATGTAGTAGAGCGAACACTAGCATGCCTGTAGAGGAATTGGTTCGGTTTGATGGCCGTCCTCACCCTTTTCCATATCCTGATAGGAGTGATGAGTATATGGCATAGTCCATTACGACGTTCAGCACCACGTAGGGTTCTGCAGAACTGAGCCACAAACATCTGCTGCTGGCTCTGCTTTTGCTCGCTAGAGCTCGCCCGCAAGTATAAGCATAAAAAGAACGAACATCTCTAATAGCCGGAAACAGGTACTCAAATCGAAAGAACCGGGTGAGAACTCCATGGAGCACCTTAACGGCGCGTCTGTATGTGTATTAGGTCCGCATGTTCTCCTAGTTTGTCGCAACGTTGGATAAACTGATGATACTAAGAGCTGGAATAGCGAGAAAAAATTGAGGCGGGCAAGGTGGTTTTTAAATACATAACGTAACATAACATAACACCCCTTAAAGAAGCCACCAAAGTGCACAGGAAAGAAGACGGAAGGAATCGACATAGAGAGGCTAGAAACAAAAGGAAAAATAGCGGCTGGCCCCAGGTTCAATGCAGTGTCGTCCACGAATGGTTGACGATATGTACAGTAGATAGTATCGATGGGAAGCTTTGCGTTAACTTTCAATGAATTCAGAAAAAAACTATGAATATTATTGAACGAACTTTCCCGGCTCTTGCAGGAGGTTTGATTACGTACGTATCTATCTCTGCTATGTATATTGCTCTGAGGAGCGCCAAATAGATCTATTGTGAACTGAAACTTTTCTATCAGCCGGTATTCGTAGATCAACTGGCCGACTCGAGACCACCACTCGCTCTAATATATTCGATTTAAAAACATACTTTCTCAGTATTAGAACTTTCATCCCCACTAGCAAATTCGATTCTAGTACAAATCCTGTTGGTAAAAGGCAAGAGACCCTTCAGCTTTCGTCCATCGTACGGTAGCAGGTGCGCTGAAACTGGTATGGATTTTCTCGACCACCTCGAATCCTCTTAACTAAGTCATAATCGAAAGAGCCCTTCAAGGGATTGCAGAATGCAAAACCCCATTGAGACGCTAACAAGCGTCTTTTTCGGTGCACGGCAAAACTATCCGGTCGAGATTCGACATGATTATCTAGCAAGGTTTCGATGCACCGTAAGGCTGCTGCGGCACATTCAAAGTCAATGGTGAGCAACGAGTGGAACAGATACGCGCGTCGTTCGCTTGGTAACTGTTTCGCGAGCTGTTACGTCACCGTTGATACCATCAGAATTATTCCGGCGGAGAGGCCAAGAGAACGTGCAGAGCAGCTTAGATGGTCATATATAATCATGTACACCTAGCTATCTGGATAGTGTACCATCATATACTGTCATAAGCAGACAACCATATGACTAGAAATTTTGTGTGTAGTAGGACAGATAATTGTCTCGAGCCTGGCATATTGGAACTGGTAAGTAACCGTCGTTTTCTGATGCTATGCAAAAGCACACTCCACTGTTTCACTATAAAAAAAATAGGCTGGTACATCAAAACCCAGTTACCCATGGGTTGGATTAGGCGGTAGCGTCAAGGAGCTGGAACCAGAGGGTCCTTAGTTCTAATCTTGTTGATTAGATAAAAACTGACGTGGTCGTGCACTTTTGCAAATTTGTTAATATAGTAAATTATTATCACACTTTAAAGGAACGCGCCAAAACGTACGTATTTTTTACGACAAAAGTTTTTTTCGATGCATAGCAACGCGAACAGCATTTGATGTGATTAATTAGGGAAAGTTAGGGGTCGGTCGTTAACTGTCACTCATTTGAGTCCCGAAAATCTGTCTGATAAATTAAATTTGAACTGGAGTACAACGTTCCCCAAAGAATAGACCAAGACAGGCGTTAACACGAATAAAGTAGCAAAATTTACTTGCGTAATTTGGCCCAACTACTCCTAAACATTTTACTAGGATTTCCTTTGACGTTTACACTTATAATAACAGGTAGACTACCTTCATTTATACGTGCAACTAAGCAGATTAAATTTTTCTACAGCAAAAACTGCTGACCTGTATCTTCGTGTCTTTTTTCGTGTTCTTGCCTTTTGATTCTTTTAGAAAAAACCGGCCATCGAAGATGGAGCATGATCTGGACCTGAGTATGGCCAGTATGGAGCGGTCGTTGTCGGTCGCCTCACGCCGTTATTCCATGGCTATGGGACTTGGCATGGGCGGAATAGGTCCCATGGGTGGATTCGGCCATGGTTTCGGCAGTATGGGACCCATGACCCATGGGGTTCCCGGTCACGCTATGGTGGGCGGGACCGGATCCTGTGTGCTTCACAACAACCTTAACAACATACAGAACATCTCGACCTATGACGATGCACTACCGACGAAGGTTGCACACTTTACGCCCGATCCACCTGGCGTTGGACGCAGACACCTTACCGATGTCTAGTAAATAAATAGTTACATTACTGTTCTCACCCCTTTGAATTACGTGTCGTGTACATTAACTTTCAGCACGAGTACGATACAAAAAAAACGACGGAAAACTGCTGTAATAGGCATACAAGGCCAAAAACAATGCTAACAACATCACGGCAAAAGAAAACGACAATAGAATGTAACTCACTGGTCGTGCACCATGCCGGCTTTACAAAGGTTGCGTGTAATACTATCAAGGAGTTTTCTACACGATGATCGAAAACATTCCGAAAGGGACGCTGTTAAAATGGTCGTTAACTGAGAGCGGTATCTATTTAATTATATAATTTCTTCGAACTAGCTACAATGAGTGAACTCTTCGTTGTTAACTGATACAAGTTAGGCTTTTCTTATTCGATTACCTTTCAGACGATCTAAGAAACCAGCCAGGCATCATCGTGTATCACTAGTGTTGCTATCATGAAACGTTAAGATTAAGTAAGGGGGATATTTGGTTGGAACTGAGGCAGTAAATGGGCGTTAGACGACAATTCACAGGCCGGCACAGACAAACTTCCAGACAGCGACGCGCTGACACAAACGAGCCGACGAAAGTTTTGTGTCTTGGAACGGGCGCTGCATTGAAACACACGCACTATCACAGAGACTCACGAAGTAATGCATACGTGATGTTAATTTTGTGTAAGCCGATGCATGAATAAAGCAAGGATGCGATAGAGTATTTAGAAAAGACACAAAAACTCAGAGACGATCGAGGCTTTGAAGCAATTTCTTCATTATTTCTTCAACTCGGCTTTAGGGTTTGAAGGCGTTTGCAGGGTGCCTTCTAGCGACGGTAGCGATCATGCTTATCACTCAAGGCCAAACGCAATTAAGTTAAGCACTCACACGGGATCATTCATGATCGCGATCACAAACGATTACCCCTGGGTTAGCGTTTAGCCAGTAAATTTTCACGAGCAGGAACAACACCATGAATTAACATTTGAAGGACCTACTTGCAAAAGGTAGACTTTGTGTATCGATAGATTGTGGGTATTACAACGTCTACCAAATAGACGTGTAATCGGTAGTAACACGATTAGACGCAAATGCAGCCTGAGCCGTATGCGAGTACCCTAGAAAGGAATCCAGGTCTCTATATATATTGAGTTTGATTGAACTGTTCCACAAGAGAAACGAAGAAGATCGAAATAGAACTGCAAAAAATCACCGGGTCACGGACTAACAGAACAGGACGTGTATAACCGGATAGCAAAAAAAAAAAGACGCAGACGGGTGAGCTTGCAGTAGAGACTCAAGTTTTCTGCAACCTTGTCCATAGTACGATCATTTGAGGGAGCAGAGAGACCTGATAGAAGTCCTCCGCCCACTGGCGTCCGGGAGCTGTCGTTTAGCTACTGCGATCACTGGTGCTGCTCTTTCATCATGGTAGTAGTAGTAGATTGTGTCGCACCTCAAAAACAGGAGTCAGAAGGCAGCGGAGGAGACCTAGGAAAGGAGTTGGAGAGTATTAGGGGCGCGGAAATTGTGAGGGGCTCGCAAGATCCTTCATTTCTTGTCCTCCACGTTCTCTCTATCATGTGTCCCTCATAGCTGTCTGTTACCCCGATCTGACGTAAGCGAGTGTAAAATGACGGAAAAAGAGGCTATCTGGGTTTGCGACGTCGCCTGAGGCCTCTAGGCTACGAGGACAACGGGTCCGTAGTGAAAATGGCTTCTGTTCAGGCAGAGCAAATAAGAGCGGGAGTCTAACTAGAGAACGACCGTAGTCCTCCTATAGGACAACCGGGGTAGGAGGATGAGCCTCGCAAAAGAGCGCCGAGAAACCAGACCACCCTAGGCATCATCACCACCGCAATCACAAGAGTTGTGTACCGTTGATGGCTGGAAGCCGTGGTCGTCGTGGTACTCGAAGCTGGAGCCTGTCGGACTACGGCTAGTGCGCTGTTCGACAAAAGCCGTGATATTGTTCCGTTGCATTGTACCGCTTCTATACATCGAAGGTAACAATAAAACGGAGAGGAGGAAGTGAGCAGAGGAACTTCTCGAGAGTAGACGACAGAAAAGGACGAACGTCATCAGACCGTCTAGTTGGCTTGGAGCTACAACAACTGGGATCACTGCCTTGCTAACCAGTCAACGTGGGGTTTCCATGCAAAAAAACGTAATGTAGCCCTAAAGATCAGATAAAGTCGGATTGATGTTTAAAGAAGAGTTAGAAGTAAAAAATAGGCTAGAAAAAAATAGAATATTTAAATGATCAAGGTATAAAAACGAGTAATCGGGTCGGAATTTTGCCAAAGGGAATACGTTGCAGGTCTGAACTGGAATCTCTCGGCATCAATAAGCCTGCGAACTTGTGGCATGAAAAAATTGTACTGCAGCGGTATACATACATTTAAAAGCAAATAATGGCGACGTACACGATATTAGATAATAATAAAATGTGAGTACGCAGGGGAAAGGTTGTGTTGGCTCAAGTATGAACATAATAAAAATATACCCACACATATTACAAATGCCAACGGCACACGAAAACATACATGCTTATTTTAAAGGTTTGTTTTTAGTCAACAGGCGGATCAGTGCCTTGAATGCCCCCGCAGACCTCTTCTAGACCCACGATAGCGCCATCCAAATACTAACATGACATATGACACAAATAGAGCTGAAATATATTCTATTCATTTTCTAGCTCAATTAACTAAGTTTAGAACGAAACGTGGTATGAGTCAACGAGTGGATATCTTACCCGAAAAGTTCGTCAATGACTATACATTAGTAATAGCAAAATGCACTTTCTACGAGACCCGGAGGCTTCTCATAAAGTGAGCTACTTGTTCTAACAGGGCTTATTAAGTTAAAACGTGATCCTTTGAAGTGTGAAGCAGCGAGTTATATTATGACAGTTGTTTAAATGTCGAATTGTGATGATTTATTGGAACATTTTTTGAGTCTTGTTGTCAGCGTAAGTTCATATAGGATCTTCAGCTACCGGTTATCTTACCGGAGTTTTTTTTGTTCTCCTTTTAAACTTGATGAGTCTATATGAAATCATAAGAGAATAGTATTTCTATGCTAGTGGTACTGAGTCTTATCGCTTTCATTCTGTCAATATAGTTCAGACTTTCATCTAATTTAGCCGCGCAACTAATCAATAAAAGCTTCATTGCGTACCCGTTATCTCTGGGTACCAGGGTCTAACAGGCGGAATGAATATGGACGCTGATTTATTAAAATCAGCGCACGGTCTTCACGAGCGAAATGGAGTATTGCATCATTTCTAAATTGCGTTAGGTTCTCGCCTAGCAGTTAGCGCAGAAAGCACTTCTTTTTAAGATTTACATATAAAAACGGTGACTGTCGTGTATAATCACTAAGGACACGCTGCGCTTTATATAAAAAGCATGCACATAAGTGCACGTAGAAAAGGATAGAGAGATCGTGGTGTACGGACACACGCGTAGGTACTCACACGTACACAGAAACAGGGATTTTACACGGACAACACACGGTAGACATATGGATTCAGCATGTTCTGTATGTATTCGGTATGTCGACAAGTGAAACCATCTGATCGTAACTGATTTTAACTCGAGTATCTGTAGCAGCAGTACTATATATACAAATACAATTAATAATAATTATTACAGAATCATGATAATGATATCGATGCTACATGAACATTGTAGTAAAACCAGATCGCCGGAAACGTTTACTACATTTGCTTCCCGCCAAAAAATCAAACCGGTAAAGGGAGCCTATTGTCTGACGGACAGTGGAAAAAAATCAACGTAGATGTTCCGTGTCAGTCGATGTCTTCCCCTGCGACGGCCACCAATCACGATGCTGATGCTAGAAGACACCGACAATTGTGGCAGTAAACAGACAAAAAAAGAACGAACAGTTTCTGCGTGACGTTTGTACCAGTTACACAGACAATAGAGAATACAAAGATACTGCTACTGCTCATGTGGATGGGCTCCTGTATGATATTCACGTGATGAGAGTACTATACGACGGTATTGCGTAAACACGACGAAAAAAAAGGAGAAGATTGATACAAATTCACAAAAAAAAAAAGAATAAAAAATACGTGAAAAGTGGCAGTCGAACACGAACGATTAAAAAATAACAAATATGTAACAAACATTGTCTACAATGAACGGATCGACTGGGATGGATGCAAAAAAAAACAAAGGACAGAACGATCTCATTAAAACGGGATAAAGACCTCACAAACAACTGATTTTGCTATTACTATAGATACATTTATTCCAACAAATTAGAACGATCAACGAAGATTATTGATTATTACTACTTCTATGATTAGTAATGCTACATAGTAATTGATAGAGTACGCACAAAAAAAAAAAACAGAAAACAGTGGTTTATCTCAGTTTGATGTCCTTGTTAGTAGGATTGTGATTGAGCGACACTTGAGAACTGACGGATGAGGATCGTCCAGTGACGACAAACTAATGAATTAATTGACTGTAATAAACCGATGGATTAGTAAATAGATGTAGGGAAAAAAATTAGGTAGGCAGAGGTGGAATTGAAACGTCGACAAAAACAAAAATGATAATAATAAATACGTTTGTTACTAAAATAGTCGATGCTTTATTATTAAGTAAATATATAAAGAAAAACAGGACGTGTGCTCTATGGAAGATGTTCATGAGCTACACACGTGGCGTTCAAACCAACGAACCGTCTATAATTGAGATATAATGAAACAGTATGAGAACAAGATACGCGCAGATCTCTTTTAAAATTATTTTATCGGTATTGTTCAATAAAAATGTTCAAAGAACAAATAAAAGATAGGCTTGTATTTACATAAAGTATGTTCATTTAACATACTGCACTATCCTGTCGGATGAATCTTAGCGCCCTCTAAGCCAAAAAAGTGCATTTCAGCTGTACGCAAAAGTGCGTTGTAGTTTTTTGTACCAATGTTTAGGAACTTATCGCCCCAACAAACACGGTAATCAACAAGGTTGTCCAGCACCACTTTACTCTATAATAGGGCACGATTGCTGACAAAGGCCCACTGATATCAGGACGACAGCTTAGTTGTTTTTCAAAGGTCAGCCGTTGTTGACACACTTCCAAGTCTTAGCGTGTTGTGAATCTACACTAGAACGATATGTTAAGAGCAGTGTTTGGCCCCACCCACGCTTGCCATAGCAAATAGAAACGTTGTTGATTTTGATCATCGAATACCGTTTGCTTGGAGCTACATTATGTATTTTAGATTGCCAATTCCACGAAAAGAGATAGATGGTCAAGCAGTGAAACATTTCCCGGGAACTTTATGACCTTTTCGAGCCTTGGCATAAGGTGAAAAGTCACAAGGGGAAACAACAAGCCTGAAGCAGAACGTAAACACACAAAAATAGTTACTATGGCATAGTACCATTATTATCATGCTGCTCCATAGACCTTTTGAAGAAAAATCCAGACAAGTTCGATAGTTTTCGTCTAGAGTAATACCTAGCAACTTAAATACCGGACATACGAAAACTCGATACAGCCATGTATTGTCACAGATCAACCATTTAACTTTCAAATATATTTAGAATAAATCACTACACTGTGTGCTAATCAGACGAAAACTTTAAGCGGGATACATGAAATGGCAATAATAAACATAATATTTTTTCATATAAATTGCATAGCATCAAGTCAGCGGGACTTGGAGCATCGACTCCAGATTCAGTTCAGCCAGGGTTTTGTCGTTCAAAGCAACCTATTTATAGATAGTAGAGGTATCATCTAAATCAATGCAAAGATAATGTTATTATATAACGTGTTATTATATATTATATATATAATGTTATATAAAGGTGTCTTGACACACAGACAACAACTTCTCAAAAGCCAGAAGCTATGAAAGTATCTTTCGTGAGCGAAATTTTTTCTATCTGTTTTTGGTTGTGTGTAAAATTTACAACTTTTTAGTGCCTACTAACCGGGATTAGAATATAGCAAAAAAAAGAACCACCTCAAATTTGACGTGTGAGATTCGCGTTATTCGTGCCCTATCTTTCGGTTTCTATTTGTCTTATTCAGTTAGAAATAAGTGTTTCGAGCTTTACGTCAGGTACTGCCTTATCTAAACAGAGTACAGATGGATCTAAGCACGAAACGAAAGTCTCATATTCACCCCATGATGTTCCCCTCAGTTTAGTAGCTAACTCCTTTGCCACTATATCACTACGAGGACATGGCAATTCTACGATACTTGCAGAAGCAACCGTACGCCGCGGGGCAACTCCAGTTTCCAAGAAATCTATTCTATTTATATGTGCGTGTCTATTAGCACGGTAGATATTGGATGTTATAGTACGTAAGGCGCGGCTCTATCGCAGTGACTTCAACGCATATATTGGCCGAATTAGCATACACCGTTTATGGACATTGTGTGGGAGGTATACTAATCTGCACCTGATCGGGGCCTACATTAAAAGAAAGAATATATACAAAATAACTACGGGTGTGAAGCCATGTAGCCTCCACGCAAGCACCTACGGCCGAAAATCAGACAACTTGCCCAATGACCAACGATTTGGAACAGAAATAAACAATAACTTTTCCTTTACTTAGTGACTTTTTTTGAGTAACGTCATTTTCGAAGCATTTTTCAAAGTTATAGTATTAAGATCTTGTAAATAAGTTATACTAAACAAAAGACTGTTGTAACTATTATATTATTATACACATCATCATACCTGGAAAATTTTTTTAGAATGTTTTTTAAAGGAAATAAGCAGATTTGCCCATGCGCTACATCTCATCTTGTGTATAGTTGTCGGCCGCTGTTGCTTGCGTAGTCAGTCAAGGATGCCTCTCAGTCATTCAGTAACCTCGATGATTTGACTGGTCCGTAATAATGTTTTCGGTAAGCGTTGGATATATATATATACATAGCCGTTATAGCCATTAAGTGAGATAGCAGCTGGCACCTGATCATATAGTGCATTCACGGGTATAGCTGCTTTATGTTTAGTAATAAAAAAACTGCAAGTATGTGTATTGTGCTTTTACTGGCACCTCTTCAAAATTTAACTTACCTTTGTGTCAAAATTAACACCGTCAGAGTCCTCGCACAGTTATATAGACTGCATTTGTGCCGTTTTAGCAGCAGGAACAATTTCCTGTACTAAACTCCAGGAAGTCTCTTGAAAATGGCGGATTTGGCAGCGTCACTTATACGGCAAATGACAAAAAAATAACCTTTAGAACCATTGCAGCTCCGTAAACTTTTAGAAAATTTCATCTATTCGCAGTCACTATCAACATTCGAATTTACCGAAACACATACTAATCGGTCCGATCGCATCGTTCTGCTTGACTTTACCAAGATTCGCGTCGATGTCTGTCTAAGGCATGCTACTGAAGCCGTGATGCCGAGGGTAAAGAAAGAGATTAAACGGCGTTTGCGAGTCTTTTAACTGAGGCTCAAAATTCTTAACGAAACGAAATGATTCTAATAATGGTCTACCCATCCACAAATTCCAGACGGCCCCTGTATGCCTGGGCCTACCTACGTTTTCCTACCAAATACTGCTAATCTAAGTCGATTTATGCCTGACTCAGGTTCTACTTGTGACTTACAGGTCATTATTATTTCCGTATAACCAAAGCGGTATTTTCCTACTGCAGCTGTTGTCTTTTTGAAAGAATCATACGAGCAAAAATGCCTCTTCAGACGTATCCGTTCCTATAGAAAGGACACCTCAAGCGTATGCGATTAATAGATAGGAAACCACAGTTTTTTGCAGATAAGAAAGCATCGCGCTATCCTACACGCGCAACAGTAAACTGTATAACCGGAACTGACCGACCTTTCCTTAACTGTAGCCTTCACCTGAAGGTTGCCAACTCTACGACGATCTCATGGACGTGAGCTGGAGCTTCGGCCATGCTCTGCTCCTCATCGGTGAATTTTCTGATGTAGGAGTGAGCTCTTAACGTGCCACGAAAGTACGTGAGTAGAGAAAAAAAAAGGCAGTAAAGATATATCCAGAACCTTTCGAGGCAGGGGCGCATAGAAACAGGTTGAAGCCGCGTTGGACTTCCGTACAGAGGGAGCTTGACTCAACTCACAGTTTACCTAGTCGCATTGCCACTATACTATGACAGAGCGGTTTCGTCATCATCGTACCATCGCCAGTCAATATGTTACGTTGGTCGTTCCAGAAGAAGGCATCTTTTTCTGTTTTCTATATCGATCCCTCTTCCGAAGTTTCCTCCTAGCTATCCATAAATTCCTGGGCCTCGTGTGTTTGCACATGCTTCATGGGTTCATGATAGAACTCGTTTCGAGTCTGTTTCCTGTACAGCTCTCCGATGTGGAGCCATTAATGCTGAATTCGAAACACGAATGGTCCCTCACTTTACTGCAACACAGACTTGTGTAGACTATAGGATGCTACTGTACTAGGGTACTAACAAATTGTGTTCTATAGTCGGTAGCAGTATCTTGGCCAATAGGCCAAACGACGCCGCTTACTGTTTCGACGAAACAGGCGCCTTTCTGGCCATTCAGATCAATGCTACAAAAACATGGAAACAGCTACGAGCAGGCTTATTGCTGTGAACTAGTATGATCAAACTTTCGGCGAACAGGAAAGAGCGCCGGAAAACGCGAGCATGACTCCTTTCATTTCTGGTCTAGTTTTTCTTCGTCGTCTATCAATGACGGTTCTCGATTCTATACTCGTTCATCCTTGATGTTTTTCGTTGAAACGGGATTCAAAACGCCGAGTTAGAAGGACAAGCGTCTCCCGAAATCCCCGATTTTCCCTCGTCGTATCCGTCTATCCGCGGCGTAGCTCTCCGGACAACCTAAAGGAATAGCGGGCGCTGACGAAAAGGCCGTTGGTCGACCAGAGTGGGCTCTGCTGGCCAAAGAGCAACTGGACTCATTGATTCATTGTCTTTGAAAGAGGACCAATTTGAAGGTAGGCCCTTGCCTCAAAACAGGCTCAATGCAACGAGTCCGACTGTGATGTGCTGGCCACTGTGAAAAAATTGCTCAGAATGATTCTGCCCGTTTTATGTTCGTTCGTCGAAGCGGCCCCTTTCGCTCTTTGTTCAGGAACGCTGCCGCCTGTTGCTGGCAGAATCAGCGGAATCTATTGGGGTTGAAGTGCGCGTTGCGTGTGACGCTGATGACTGCAGTCAATAGTGGTTTGTTCGCTTTCATACCGAAATATAGGCTTTGGTAATCCGGGCGAAAAGTGTTTGGAAACTCTCAGATTGATGAATTGCCTAGAAATTAGATATGCAGGATCTTCCACGTTTACTGCGTAAATAGTACGTTAATTATTTACGCATGGCGTACGATTGGCATAATTCATGTTCACATGAAAAATATTAATCCATGCAATAAATTATACAACATATCCTCTAGCTTTGAGGTCTCTCTAGGCACTAGGACGAACGACACGCGAACTTGGCCATGTAATCTCCACTATATTCTTTTGGCTTTATTTAATGTTTTCCTTATTCGGGACACACTTGCAATCTGCAAGCAACACCTTGATTGGTCTCGTTTTTATGTGGCACAAAATATATTTTTCTTTGCCGTGACTAACATCAGTAAATCGTTCATAATTAAAGCCAACTCCAGAAATTAACGACCAAACTGATATAAATTTATTTTAAATTTCGAACATGGT